CAAAGATCAGGGATCAGCCCTGAGCCTTTCATTAACCCTGAACTTCAAGATATTTCTCTCAGTTCCTGTAGGAAGTCACCCAGCCATGTAAGAACCACAGTGCCCCTGGTGGCCAGTGGGTGAGGCTCAGAAATGAGCCCTTGGAAGACCCAGTGTGAACTCTGTTGTCACACTTGTTCAGGCCCATTGAGAGTTAGAGGTTGTTGGTGTATTAGGGGTTCAAGAACATAGTCATTCTTTCTGATCCAAAATTAAAAGCACTTGGAAGAGGGATGTAGAGGCTAGAGAATGTAAAGTCCCAATGTCAGCCTTGGTGCTGGTGAAGGAGGGGCTAAACTTTGTAGCCAAGTGATCTAGCTAAGAACCCTCCAAACTGAGCATATCAAGGTTTGACTCCCCTTTTACACAGTGGAGGGGGTAAAATTACTGACTAATTTTACCATAATTATGAGTCACGAGGCTAGAAAGAAGCATCTTCCTCATGAGTGGAAAAACCCAAAGATAACTTAGAGGGCCTGAGCTGAGCATGCCCAGCTTTCTCCTTCAAAATCACAGACAGATCATTCAGTTTTCCTACCATAGAGACAAGTGAGGGGAAGAAATGAGGCTTCAGAGGGTCCCCACCCCTGCCCATCAAGGGCATCTCTCCAGGGAATAAGTGTGTTTCCTTCCCCCAAAATTCCTTTCAATGCCCAAGGGAACAGCAAACTAAATCCCCATATTTTTCATCAACTCAATCTGTTCTGAACTCTGGTGTGTTCCAGGCATTGAACGGTGTTTGTTTCCATTGCAGGTCTTTTTTTAAGTTTATTTCTACTAGAATGATATACGTTTAATAATTTTCTCTCCCTATGCTATTACCTAATGATTTAAGATTAAACAGAATTTCCAAATGTTTAAAATGCTATTTGAAAGTACCTTGTTCCCTCTCAACCAACAGGATGCATTAGCCTTTTTCCATGCCATTGAACAAGGTCTTTGATTTTGTGTTTGACTCCTGGTTCCCATCATTAGCTTCTTAGTGTTTCCTGCTAGATGGCCTCTAGAATCTTCTCTGAGGAGAGCTGTGCACTTAGCTCTGGGGCATCTTAAACAAGCACTGTTAAAACAAACCCTGCACACCTTCACCTTCCTCTGTTCTACATTTCCACCTAAGCTTTGTTGAATTGTGTCAATAGAGTAAATTAAGGCTTTTTGCAACAATAGAAAAGTCAAAGCAGGAGAACAGGGAGGCTTGGTGGGAAAGAGGTCAAAGCACCTGTTGCAAGTGATGAGAAGAGTGGTGCTTGATGACATCACCTTCGAGCTACCCTGATGGAACACAGATTTTGCCACGTGTTACAGAACAGCAGCTCCAAGCACTTGATTTGCATTTGTTTCTTTAAATGTATTTATTCCTTGATTTATGTAAAACTTATGAATTTATTACCTTCCATGTCAAATACCTAATTATTATTAGTGTAAAAAATGTCAATGTCCCTCCTAAGGAATCTTAAGGCTAAGAGAGAGAAAGAGTCATTCCTTCATTCATTCAGCTGATAATTATGTTGGGAGAGAAGCAAGTCTGACAAGAATTGCAGGGGAAAAGTCCTCAGAAGTGAATAGGTCAGGAAACAGAGGAGTCAACGTGTGTATAGATTGTCCACATGACGTTACAGACACCAAGAGTGGGCAGGGCCAGCAGTGGGCAGTAGGGCTGAATGAGAAGACAGAGCTGAAGGTAAGAGCACAAGAGAGTGCACCTGTGGAAGGTGGTGTTGCAAAGTCACAGTGTAAAGGGGTGGGGCATTAAGGCAGGAGGGAGCAAAGTGGTCTGGCAGCAGTAGAGAGGAGCCAGAAGGAGGAACAGATACAAACAGGATGTCTCTCCATGCAGGTTCCAAATCTACTATACTTCATTCTGCATTATTTTTACACTGAAATCCAGAGCTCCTGAGTGACAAAATCTAATCAATGAAAAATAGAACATGGCTATGTGGCAGACCTCTGGTAAACCTGATTTGTCTTGGCCACTTGGACACAGGTGTCCTTGGCACCACTTCACAAGGATGACCTGGTTGGGTTTGAGAATCCATGGGTTTAGAAATAAGGTCCTAGAAGAGAAGAACTGAAATCATTTCCAGGAGATGGCAGACTCTAAGTAAACATTGCTGGCACAGATCAGAAGAGACATGCAGATTTGTGTGAAGAACACTGGATCTGGTGGAAAGGGGGCAAAGTAAGACTGGAGAGGCCTGCAGGGCCTGGGAATTTCTAGTGTGACTCCACAGGAATGTTCCAGAGCAGGCCGCTCACCACCAGAGAACATTCTCAGGATTCAGAGTCCACAGTGGCCTTCAGCTGGCACTGGGCCTTGCTCATGCAGGGCAGAGACAAATGGATCTTCATTCTAGGATGGGTAGCTCGCAGCTAAACTGCCTATTTTACTAAGTGCCTTTAAAAGACTCTTAGAAATATTAATTCAAATTAGAAACAAGAAGTAAAATGTTCAAAATCTTAGTGAAGAACTTTCCTTTACAATGTCGATATAAATTCTCATGGGGGGAAAGGACCTGTTATAGCTTAGGAGGCAAACAGCATGGAGAGGCAGGTAAGGAGACAGGTCAGCCCTTATAGGGGCTCCCACACCCATCTGGGGTGAAAAAGCTGGAAGACTTTTTTGGTCTAGGCTGTAGGTCTTTAAGTTTTCCCTGACCAGTGAGTTTGAGCTCACAAACAATTTTTGAGGAATCTTGAAACACATGACCTAAATGTTATTTTCTACCTAGATTTCCAGTGTTGATAGCTTATCATTTTCTGTCTTCCTCACACCCCGAGTTGGTAGAGATCTAAGGCGGAGGGAGGAGCAGGGATGACTTCATTCAGGGATGCTGGGGCTAGAGGGAGAAGGGGAAGCACAGGTTTCTGCACCTGCACAGGGTGATTCTGCAGCTCTGTGTCTGGGCTGCTGGCACAGAGGTACACTGCTGAATCCTTGGGTTCTGTGGACTGGATCTTGAGAGTGGAGGAGGAGGCATTGAGCATGGCAGCTGAGAACCCATCCGTGGGCCTTCCCTCATCATCTAGGACAGATTTGCTTATGAAATAAGTGAGCAACAATAGCCCCTGCCCCACAGTCTGGGCCAGAAAAGATAGGTACGTCCTGATGTGGGCTCACGTCTCAGCGTTACTGGTTGTCCCCTCCCTGTCACTTTGCCTGGGTGCCTGGTTGACCCTAGCATCTGTGAGCTCTGTAAAGAAAGAGAATTGGGGGACAGGAAAGTAAAATATAGGGAGTTATTAAAAAGGAAGTTCTTCAGGAAGAAGCTAAATATTCTAGGAACTCACTGCTACCAGGACACAGAGGGCCACACAACACAGGGTCTGGCTGCCCACAGCAGGGTGAGAGCAGATGTGGAGACCTAGAGGGCCTTTCTGAACAGGAACAAGAAAGGAATCTTAGGACATTTTATTCTCACAAGATGCATCTGTCAGTGACATCATCCAGTGAGCCACTGTCCCCAACTTGAAAGCTCCCTTCAGAGGAGGCTGGACAGCTGAGTAATGAACTGGTCAGGACTGGATTCTGTTTTAAAAGACCTGAGGTACAGATCTACACTTAGGCCCTCTGCAGTTTGTTTGACATTATCATCTCTCAATGACTCCTCTCCAGATCCCCCCACCTCAGAGCCTGCCCATTCCTTCCATCTGCACCTCAAACTCCAAGGACTGAAAAACGAATCCCCTATCTCATTGCAACCAGCTTCTGCTCTCACTGATGGCACAAGACCCTGTCACACACTCACAACCAAATCACTCTCTGCTAGGTACCAGCTGATCTGTGGCTCCCCAGGAGGAGGAAGAGGTCAACTCACTGTGAATCTACGGGGACTGCACTGATGTCATGAACACCTGCCTCTTCCCTATTGAAAGGACCTGTCCCCAGCACACCTCCTCTCAGGTTGGCGTTATGGAGAGCTGAAGCCTGCTCTGTTTCTTAGGGTGGTCAATTATGTTATCTGCTTACAAAGAAGGAACAGAGTCCACATGTGCTGTGGACACCCAGACAGCCTTCTGAGTCCCCTGCACCTGAGAGAACCTGACAACTTTAGATAACCCACAGTGACAGGCAGGCTGGAGGCCTCTGACGTGCCTGCTTCCCTTGAAGGCACTGTCCTCTTGCAGGGTGTCTTGAACCCAGAGTGTAAGACCATGCTCCTCACTGCTTTCTAGCCACCAGCATTGTTTGTTCCTTCTATTTCCAGGTGCCTACATGTGGCAGGCCAAATTATGTTCCTCTGCAGATGTGCATGACTAGTCCCTGGATCCTGGGAATATGTGACATTGCATAGCCAGGGAGACATGAAGTTTCCATTGGAGTTAGGGTGGCTGATCAGGGACACTGATAACAAGGAGATTACCCTGGAATGTTCCCCTAGGCTTCTACAATCAGAAGGGTCTTAAGATGTGGAAAGAAAAGGAGGAAGAGCCAGAGTAACACAGCCCAAGAGAAGGCTCAAGTGGTCACTGTTGGCTTTGAAGTTGGAAGGGGCCATGAGCCAAGGTGCTGGTGGCCTCCAGTGACTGAAAAGACAAGAGAACAGATCCTTCTCTTGACTTCCAGAAAGTGTGATTTAAATTAATAATGCAACTGCCATGATTTAAAAAAAATCATTCTTTATGGCTTGTCTTCTTTAGTGTCTTGAATAAAGTCAAATCCTCCTTCAAAGAAATGATAAAACTATTTCCTTTATCTTTTCTAATAAATTTAAAGTTTTCATGTCACAATTAAGGATTAGTTCACCTGAAATACACTGTCATGTAGGAATAAAGTACACCCAGGAATGAGAGGGGGGACATATGTTTAGGGTCAAAGGAACACTCTGTGAGGACAAGTCCTCATGGGAAAATAACTCACAGAGGAGAGTGTGACAGGAGATGACAGGCAGGGGACAGGTGCAGGGAGGATGGAGAGACAGGAAGGCACATGACACAGACCCCTAGGGCTACCCCCCAGGATGGAGGCAGCCAGGAGCAGAGGTCATGGGGGAGGAGACTCAGGGCTGAAGTTGAAGAGCCTCTAGGAGGATGAGGAAGACACTGGAGCCCTGGGGGGAGAAGGTGGTGGCCCTGAGACTGGCAAGGCCTTCCACAGGAACCTCCACTGAGATGCACTTTCCTTGGGCAGGTAGAAGGAGAGGGCTGCTGAAGGGAGCAGCAGCAAGCTAAGGGGCAGGGAGGTCTGAGGTCAGGCTGAGACTGTCAGGGGAGGACCTCAGCACTGAGGGCCTGTTGTCCAGGCTCTGAGGGCCCCAGGCTGGCAAGGGCTCTGCTCCCTGGGGTGGCCAGGGCTCCTGAGCACAGGCAGCCACAGTCTTCCTATTTATGTGCAGCCAGGAGGTGGCCCTGGAGCACTGTGTATTCACTGGTGGCACAGAAGTACACAGATGTCTGGGAGCTGGTGGCCGACTCCAGAGTGAGGGGGAAGTCCTCTGTGTTTGATCTGGAGACACTGTACCCGTCAGACACGTCTCCTTTTTCAGTGTTGTCCACAGTATATGAGTAATGGATCAGCTGCAGCCCTTGCCCTGGGTCTTGTCGATACCAATACATATAGTCATAGTTGTAGGTCTGGTGGCATCTCAAAGTCACCTTTTCTCCTGTCTCTGTGATGACATGTCTTGGGCTCTGGGTGATTCCAGCCTCCATGTGTCCTGTGGTAGAGAAGGGGAAGTTTATGTCACCTCAAGAGATACTTGGATTGAAGTTTTGGAATTCCCGAGAAGGAAGCCCCCCCATAGCCAGCACTCACCTGCCCACAGGAGACAGCAGGCCACACAGAGGAAGAGCTTGATTCTCATTGTAGGAATGAGGGAGAGTCTCATGTCTTCTGAGTCTGTTTTGGGGAAATAGAACTTTTGCCATTAGTAGCCGAGTGATGACTTGTCCCCTACAAATACATGAGCTGTACAAATAACTTACCACAACCCTTCCCTAAGGGAAGAGTCAACTTTCAATTACTATATATGTATATATAATATTGTGAAATATGGTGATATTTTATGCTACATATGCACAATTCAACATCTCTGAATGGAAAGAATTTGTAGTCTGCTTTAAACTATAAGAGGGAATCATCCTTCCTAAATTTTAGGAAGAATATTTGGTCCTCTGGGCAGCTTTTATTCTTATAAGTATATAGTTTCTTATTTGTGTGTAACTTTAACTTTTCCCAATATTTCTTCAATATAAGGAACATCTGCATGGCAGTTATGGTGCCTCCTATAACTTCCTGCTCAAGCATCATCTCCAAGTTCCTTATACTAGTTCTTCTATTTGCCCAAACTCTGGGAATTAGGTGTCAGTATGCCATGCTGTTCTTGACTACAAGAATCATTGACCACCAGAAAGTTTTAAGAGCATCAAGATCAAGGTCACTTCCACTTGAAAAACTTTTTTAACTAGTTTCACAAAAAGTCAGGAACAGGAGTCCTTCTATATACTCTGAAGGCTTAGGGCACCACTGTGGATATGAATTCTTTGTTTTAGGTGAGACCTTGGAATCCTGGCCACTTAGGTCCCCATGACAATATTTCTATTCAAAACAAGAGATGGATCATTAGTGATGTGGATGAGATATCTGCATGTGACTTGTGCCTCCACTGTCACAGGGAAATGTTCTGTGCTTGTTCATAAGATTTTGTATCAAAAAATAGGAGATATTCATTCAGTCATGAATCTGCTATCATGCTACAGCTGTTCTTTCCCACAGAGGCCACATCTCACTGTGAGTCCTTTTTCTGTGTCTCCACACATTGATGGACTCTTAATGGATACTCAGGCCTCGTGAACAAGGTGCAGAAACACAGAGACACCAGGAGGACATCAGTGCAGCACTCATAGAGGTGGCTATGGCAGGGGTGTGGGCACCTGGGTCAGGCTCTCATATCTGTGGCCCGAGATTGGCTGGTCCCAAGAGTCACCAACAGAGGACACTTTGAATTACCTACCTCTAAGGATCATCTCCAAAATAAAGTCTGAATTACCAACAATTCTCAATCTTCCTTGGGGAGATGAGCATCCCCTGGGAATATCTCCTTTTAATTGACTTAGT